TGGAAAACACCTCTGGGGTAAAAGGGATATGGGAAGTGTACCAGTCAAAGCTCTGTTCAGTGCTCACCCCCTGGCCCTGTCCCACCCCACCCCCCAGTCCTTCGTACACATAATCCAGGTATCTTTCCAGTTAAGATTAGATGCCACCAGGGAACTCAAGACATCTTGAGGAAAATGTTATCTTTGAACATCTCTTTCTATTAGGAAAATCGTTGCTATGGTCTTGATAATGTAATAATAGTAACATTCGTCTTACTACCATAATATGGGTATTTAGATTTATGGTTTTGTTGGTATTAGTATATCATTGCATGATATAATGTTAATATATGCTATAATGTTCATCAAAATTAATATCTAGTATCTACCATGTATTAATAAGTATTAACCTCCCATGTGTTCCAGCCTTTCCAAAGGACTTTTGCTACATTATGGAAGTCAGTCCTCGCAACAATCATATGAGAAGGATATCACCAATTCTAGTTTACACGTGAGACTGAGGCTGAGTCAGGGGCCCCAGCTTGCCCAAGGTTTCAGAGCAAACTAGGAGACCTGGGATCTGACCTGACCTGGCTCCTGGCCCACACTGGACTCTGATCAGCCTTCTTTATGTTGTGCTTATGTAGAGCCTGTTCCCCATTTTTCTCATCAGAAATTCAGGTGCAACAAATACTAGCTACATCATAGAGCTGTCTAGGAGGTTAAATGTACTGATAGGTGTAAAGCCTTTAAAAAATCGCCTCATACATAGTAAATTAAACCCTCAATAAATGCTTACTATTTATGTGATCGAGCTGAAATTTTTCTCCGTAAAACATTTCCACTAACAAAATTGATTCTCTCTCCAATTAATAAATAATTTTTTCCATTTCAAAGTATTATCATCTTCACATTTTTTCAGTTACTCAGGGGTAGTTCTTCATCTTTTTGTATACTCATTCTCATGATTTACATTAAGATATTAAGATCTATTTCCTTAGTGGTGCGATCTAAGCTGCAAATAATTTTCAGAAAATGATTTTACTACAGAATTTCTATTGGTTCTTTTTTCCTCCCAGATGTCAGTCACATTCTTTGTATCTCCTTCACAGTGAAACTCTTCTCCCAAGCCTAAAAAAATCATACCTAGAAATCCTGCCAAAAATGACAGTTTCCATGACAACCAAAATAAGCAGACATAAAAAATGCCAAATGTAATTCAATACCTTTGAATTTTCTTTGAGTTCTGTGGATCCCTTTTATGTGATAGACAAAAAGGCCAGTGTTAGTTTTGTCTTCATGCTGGAATATATTTCCCATATACCTGTATTTTCACTTTTTTTTTCTTTTTCATTCATTTCCTCTCCAGTCTACACACAAAAGATTAGTGTTTATAAATAAATTTGAGAGAAATTACAGAATCAGAAAGTGGTACAATCTAATGCACCTGCAGAGAATTTGACAAATAATTTTAGATAAGAGTATCTCCTCTTATATCCAATAATAATATCATTACCTTACATTTTATAGTACTTTACAGTTCAAGCTACTTTCCCATTCACTATCTAATTTAATCCTAAAAATAATTCTTTTACAGGTATTTTTAAAATTGTAATCAAAGATCCTCAGAATAAAGCAACCTTCTTAGAGACAGCAGATGATGAAATCAAAATACAAACCCAGAATTCATTACCCTTTATCCATTTTTACTACAACGTTTTATTGTTTTAGGAAGAGTTGCTAAAATTCCCTTAGTAACTTGTTACCTATCAGCTCTTAATGGTCATGATACTGTTCCAAATGCCTAAGGAGCATAAATACGTCCTGCTGAAATTGAAGATGATCCCGTTTCGTATCACTCAAGCTAAAGTTAACTTCCCCAAGGTCCTAGATGGAAGATAAATTACAGAGTTTCTAAATCAGTGAAAAATAAGGCCTCTTATGTCAAAAAGTGCGTTATCTAAAAGAAGAATCAGCAAACATTTTCTGTGAAGGGCAAAACAGTAAATATTTTAGGCTTTGTGGGCCAGTCTCTGTGAAACTACTCAACTTCATTGTAGCGTGAAAGCAGCCATAGGCAATATGGAAATGGATGGGCCTGGTTGTGTTCCAATAAAACTTTATTAAAAAAGACTGGGGGTGGGGCAGGAAAGATTTGGCCTACGAGCTGTTGTTTGCCCACTCATGGTCTAGAAGATACTTCTTCATTGTAGAAAAATGGAAAGTTAGATTTAGGTTTTCATCACTGAAGAACTGAGAGAAACATCAAACAGAGGACAGGCAAACATTATATGTTAGGGGTTTTTTTGTTTTATACAGGGAAGGGATGGATGAGGGCTGCTCTGGGTAACAGTGCAAGCCTATGTTCGTTCTCTAAATCGTTGACAGGATATATTATTCCTGCCTCTGGTTACGAGGCTAGCCAGGGAAACATATTGGCTTACATTCTTTAATTCCACACGTACTCTTTGTCTTCTTATCATGTGTTATGCTGACAACCAATGGGTAGACAAAGATGAACAAGGCTCACTGGCAGCCTTCTAGGAGTTTCCAGTCTGAGGTGAGGTAGGAGAGGAGGTGGTGAGGACAGACAAGTATGTAAAAAAAAATACAGCATAAAGAAAAATGTGGAAGAGACCAGTAAGGAGGTATTAGCAAACTGCACTGAGAAGACAAGTGCAGGAGAAATAAGCTTGGTCCTGGGTGATTGGGGTGTCATGATCAGAGAGGGTAACATTTAGTTGGGTCATGAGGAATGAAAGGATCCCAAAAGGAGCTGAGGGAAGGGCAGGTCAGGAAGAAGAATCTCAGGTAGGCACACAGGTACAGCGATGTAGGGCATGTGCAGAAAATAGGATAATCCCCCGTGCCTGGAGAGGTAGAGTGAGGAGTGGAAATGGGAGCTGGAAGTCCAACCAAGTCTTCTGAGAGCTGAAAGATGCAGCTGAAGTGTTGGGATTTTATTCCCCGACAGAAAGGAGTCCTGGCACATAAATCAGATCATAACAGGACTTTATTAAGAGAATGTCAGCAGCAGTGTGAAGAAAGCTCGGTTCATTAAATGAACCTCCAAGAACTCTGGAGCAATGCTGTCCAAAAGAAATATAATATGTGCCACAAACGCAAGCCACATATGTGATTTTAAAATTTCTTATAACCACAATTTTAAAAAGTAAAACTAAACAGAATTAATTTTAATAATATACTTTATTTTACCTAATTTATCCAAAGTATTATAGTTTCAACATGTAATCAATGTAAAAATTATTAATGAGATATTAATGTTTACCTCATACTGAGTCTTCAAAATCGGGTATGTATTTTACACTTAGGGCAGGGCTCAATTCAGATTTTCAATATTGCAAGTGCTCAGTGTGGCTAGTGGCCACCGCATGGGACAGCACAGCTCTAGAACATATGAACTAAAGGGCATCCGGGAGGGGACTTGAGCCTAGGCTGGAGGCAAGACCCAAGGACAGTCATTTGGGGATGCCTGGCTGCATATTTTGCCAAGTCTCCTTGTGCCCTGAGTTCTTTTAGAATAACCTACATGGGAATAATTGCTGTGCCTTTAAAATAAAATGTTCATAAAATGCCATGTGGACTTAGAAAATCCTGTTCTAGCTAAAGGTAGGTAAACTGTTAAGGTAAGTGAAATCTCAGACACTTTACATTATAATAACAATGGTTTCAATAAGGAATTTGGATCTTAACATTTTTCAGCTGGAAGGGCTCTTAATTATTTTATGAAACGTTCTAATTTTACAAATGACAGAGACTCAGTATCACTCACCTAGATATTACTCCTGGGGCTGCCCAGTTCTTCCCTTTTTCCAGGTTACTGTGTGGGTGTATGTGTGTGTGTGGTGTACGTGCAAACAACAGAGACAGAGGAACAAAGGCAGGCAGCAGAGATGAGGAGGGGGAAGGAGAACAGTACAAGAGCCTGGTGAGTCTTTTTTAAGCTACAGATGCTGGGACCCTACCCTGATCTACTGAATCAGAGATGGACTCACAGACAAATTAAGGTAGTGCCATTGCTAATCTATGAAGAGACCTATATTATCATTAGAAATAGTACAAAACACAGGAGAATTTTTTAAACCAGAATACCTGACAGATGAAAATTTGAAAAGGAATACTTTATTAAATTCCTTGGAGTGTTGGCTTAGGTGGGAGAGAGAGGGAGATAAAAGCACGGGGTAGTGAAGGATGCAGACACCCATGTAGCAGAAATAACAACAGCCACTGAACGCCTTTAGCACAGGGCCCTGCACTGCAGGGTTTTGGGCTGGTGTGTGTGTACCTGTAATAATTTTGGGGGTGGAACCAAGTTGCCATAGTAAGAAAGGTAAGGTTGAGGACATATCAACTGTCTTCATTTCTCACCTCCCCCTTAGCAGCAATTAGCTTCTCTTCCAAAAAAAGGGGCGGAAGAATATTTTATACTATCACTTTAGGCACCAATTTATTAGCCTGATCATAATATTGAACTATGGACCAACCTGGGTGTCCCGGTACACCCGCATTTATCAGTTTGGACCTTGTTAGGGATGTGTAGTCTCGAAAGCTCTCCAGGTGATCTGTTTTGAACTCCTCACCAGGGTGAAGACTATTATAGTACCGCTTCCTAATTTTAATGTGTACACCAGTCACCTGGGGATTTGTTACACTGCAGGCTCTGATTCGTAGGTCTGGGATGGAGCCCCTGCATTTCTGACAGGCCCCTGGGTGATGGCTGTGCTGCTTGTCTGCAGACCACACAGAACAGTAAGGCCCCAGAACATCAACTATTTTTCTGAACAAAGTCATGTAAGCACCCTCGGGTATTTCCTCCTTTCCCACTGCATTCCCAGCATTAAAAGGCCTGTGGTTCCCCTCGCTCCTTCCACAGGGGGCTGGAACTTGAAAAGAGACGAGGCATTAAGAGATCTCAGGGGCCTGAGCTGCCAGTCCTGCCTAGGAGCACACCTGTTTGATGAGGCTCACCTCTTTTCATCCTTTCACCTCTCTGCCTTCAGGTATCTAAACTCGAAAGAGAGAAAACTCAAGAAGCCAAGAGGATCCGTGAGCTGGAGCAGCGCAAGCACACGGTCCTGGTGACCGAACTGAAAACCAAGCTCCACGAGGAGAAGATGAAGGAGCTGCAGGCCGTGCGGGAGAATCTCATCAAGCAGCACGAGCAGGAAATGGCCCGGACAGTGAAGGTGCGGGACGGGGAGATCCAGAGGCTCAAGTCGGCGCTGTGTGCGCTCCGGGACGGCAGCAGCGACAAAGTAAGGACAGCGCTCACCATCGAGGCCCGCGAGGAGGCCCGGAAACTGTTTGATGCAGAGCGCCTTAAGCTCTTACAGGAAATTGCGGACCTGAAAACGGCCAAGAAGCAGGTGGATGAGGCGCTAAGCAATATGATCCAAGCGGATAAAATCAAGGCTGGGGACCTCAGGAGTGAGCATCAGTCCCACCAAGAAGCCATCTCCAAGATCAAGTGGGAGTCGGAGCGGGATATTCGGAGGCTGGTTAGTAACCCAGGGCAGAACCATTCTCTTTCCAGGCTTCAGAGTGCTTTGGGGTTTGCTTTTTCATGAAAGGTGTCTTTTTCATGAAAGGTGTCTTTCATGAGAGGATTGTAAACAGTACCCTCCTTCTGTCTAGTGCTATGGCCAAGATGCAAGATAGGTCAATAGATAAGTAGATGCGCCCAGGCCAAAATTGGCATTGTAAAAGGCAGAAGATTTTGGAGTCACCTTTCTCATGGAAACTGGATTCTTCCAGCCCCACACGTATGGAGAGTATGGGTTTAATGACTCCTGTTTTCTTGGATGTCCATGGAAATATTCTGAATTATGAACTCTTCCAAAATCAGCATGTTTTGTAGGCTTTCCATTTATAAAATGTTCTGGGGTTTTTACCGGGGAAAGGGAAGTTTCTTTGGCTTTCAAGGTGTCTGAAAATGGCAGCCACTGGGAACATCCTCTGGGATTCACCTGTCTTCTCTCCAGGAACCGTGTCTGAAAGCAAGAAATAGAGCTATAAAACCCCTAGTCATTTTACAAAGAGATCTTCTTTCCCAGAATAAACAGGGGCCACTCAAAATAGGGGCCATTATAATTCTTAAATTGGATGTCATTCCTAAATAGCTTATTTGCTATTACAAATTTCCAAGACTTCCTTCAACCCCTACTGAGTTGAGTCTTTCCTTTTAATATGTATGACCAAAAGCCACGTCAGTCTCTCACTATGCTTAAAAGCAAAACAAATAGAATTATTGTGTGAAAGCTATAATGTTGCAGATTGGCCTTCTCTTAGAAGTATTTATATGCATCTGTATTCAGAATGTTTAGCATTAGTTATATCTTGGTTATATATTAACTATCACCTGTTCGAGTGTACTTTATGCTTCTCTAAAAATATTTTCTTAGGAAAAACTACACCTTCCTTCTTGTGTGTGCCAGGTCTAAGCATTTATATTCTAAGAATTCCAATTATGTGTCTTAGACAGTATCTCTAGGATTTCAATTTTATGTAAAAAATGGTTATCGTAGAACATTTTAGAAAACTAAACATGTGATTTTCTTTGTACTGCAATACAGTGTGACTGTAAAATGTTGCCTTTGCTACACTTCCCAAATTCTTTATCTGCAATTCATACTATCGCATTGGTTGACAATAAAGACCAAACACAGTGCAGAAATATTGGTCTCTGCCCTGCCTTTGGTTTTTAAGACAACAATGGCTGATGAAGAAAGAATCAAGACTGTGAACTCTGGAGTCAGCAGGTAGGTAAGGAAGCTTACATTAAATATTTTTGCTTGTCGATGCTTTTAATGTAAAATCTTAAATGAAAAGGAAGCTTTACTTTAAATATTTTTTTACATTATATTTACATTAAATATTTTTGCTTGTCGATGCTTTTAATGTAAAATCTACACATATATCTACCTGTTGGTTTGCAATTTCTTCCATGATTTCCTTTCACCAGCACATTGCAGAAGCAGACATGAAATCCCTCTTAATAACAATGTAAAATCTAATCTGTCTGAAGATTGGTTCAAAAATTGGGTACAAACAGAAACACAGGGGAAACTTTTTCATTAATACAGATGCACTTCATTTTTTCCTTCTAATCCTGTTCTTACTGCAACACCCAGTTTTATTTTTGGAACTGAAAAGGAGAGAAATGGGAGCTATTCTGTGTAGAAAATTTTCCAAGGGAATTCTGGTATGTACCCATCTAATTAGAAATTTGGAAGATTTTCAGTATTCTGAAACCAGAGTCCATATTTATAACCAGCATGCAATAGAGACTGCTTGACACTAGGTACTGGATAGTCTACAGAAAACCACTTTGGGAAAATGCTGGAAGGATAACCTTGGCATAAGTATAGCATAGAGCCAAATAGAATGGGCTCTAGGGTCATAAGACTGTATATTAAATCAGTCTTCATCATTTATTAGCCATATGACCATGAACAAGTTCTTAACCCTTTGGGTCCTCAGTCGTCACCTGTGAAATGGTGATAACAGAACCTATATAATAGGATTGTTATAAAATTAGACAAGGTATGTAAGGCCCTGAATGCCTTGAATGTAGAAAAAGATCAATAAATTTCAGTTATAATGATGAGGCTGATTATATGGGTGTAATGGGGTGATTTCCCAGCCAGTTCAGTTATGTAGGGTACTTAAGAACCAAGTAAGAGCATGCAGATCTGGAGCTACGGTAAACTGGAAATAAACCATAGATGACAGATCTAACAAAGGAACGTGCTACTTAGATAAGAGTAACACTGGACTCAAGTTTCCTGCAAGGAGATAAAATGAAGACAATGCTTTTACTCCCAAATTAACAGGACAGCGTTTGATTACTTGCCAAGTTATCAGATGATGTCACAGCACCATGGCCTCCCAAAAATGATCTAAAATTTTATCCTGTGACTTGGAGGCAGTAGCTCACAGAGAGTTACATGTGGGAAGATGTGATTGTATAATACAGTTTCTGTTCCAAATATATATAAATATGTATTTTGGTCTTAGGAACACAGCAAAGAAAGATTTATACCAAGTGATCTGTTATATATAAGGAGACATTTTTATAAAGAGGAGAACAGTATACTATTGTTTGCATTAAATGTGTCTATTCTATTTCCGTTTTTAAGATTCTCATGGAATATAATGAAATGAGAAGAAAGGTTTTACCTAATGGCTATGCTTTCTTCAGAGATTGTTTAAAGATGTTAACTTCACTAGCCCTCACCCAGGGATGGCAAAAAGTTTTCAGTCCAGTGGAACTCTGATCAACTGGTATCAAATGCCTTTGGCCTTTAGTTGAGAAGTATTTCTGAGGCCATGCCCAGGCTTAACAAAAATGAGTGTTGGGATCAATAAATATATCCCACAGATATAGGTGGGAAAATAGTAACTAATATTACCAGGTATTTTCTATTCCAGTTCTTGTCCCAACCATGATTTTCTGACTATAATAGTAAAATGGTTGCCAAGAACTGGCTGCTCTGAAGAATGGATAGGAATGGAAAGAACCATACAACATGAACCATGGAAGGACAAATTCACCACTTGAATACAAACATATTGGCCTTAGGAAATGATGAGGCTACTGGAAATACTGTAGCTTCTTCAGTTACAAATGACCTGTTCATAGCTGTTACTGCTATTTAAACTGAACTCAAAAGTCATTCCCCCAAACAGGAGGTAACATCACACATTGTCCTGGGAAACATTGTAGTAGAATATTTAGCATCTGTCCTTATTAACACTAATGCCCTGTTTTAAAGTTAACTTTTGCTTTCCATATCCAACCAAACCAGACTGTTTCAAACAATATATTGAATCACAGCACCTACATAGGATATACTAGAGAGAAAAAATTACCCTCCTTGACACCTAATTAGTCTAGGATGGCCGTTCATTACATATTCCTGCCTTGTCTGACTCCTGAATTCAGTATACTTGTCATATTCATGATTTTTTTCCCTATATCAATCAGCAGAACAAAAGTTAAGCTCATACCATTGTAAAAATGCATTTCTTTGCCACATTGTTAAATAAAATGTCATGGGTGTCATTTAATTCAGATGGATGAAATCAAAGCCAAGGACAGGATCATCTTTTCCCTGGAAAAGGAACTGGAGACCCAAACAGGCTATGTACAGAAACTCCAACTGCAGAAGGAGGCTTTGGATGAACAGCTCTTTCTGGTCAAGGAGGCTGAATGTAACATGAGCAGTCCAAAACGAGAAATTCCGGGAAGGGCAGGAGATGGCTCTGAACACTGCAGCAGTCCTGTAAGTCTATTCAAGTTGAAGTTAAAAACTCAGGAGTCATCTTTTATTTAGCGCCTAAGTTTTACTTTTCACGTAAGCTCTTTTCCTGTTTACTACAGAGCAATCAATTCCACCTCCTACTATAAAACAAGCAAGTATCTTGGGAGCAGAGTTTTCTAAACTCATAGACAACAAAGTGGTCTGTACTGCATTAGCTGATCACAAGAGAACTACATATCTTTTAAAATCCTTTATAGAATTTTTCTAGCCGTGATACCTGTCCAAACATCAGCATATTATAAGAATCATAAATTAGATGAAAATACTTTGCCTCTTGCCAAGACTGGTCATTTTCCCTTGTGTGAACAATTGAGTTGAAAATTGGTAAAAATGGTTATCATGTACAGGGGTCAAAATGTATAACTGTGTAAAAGACTAAACCATTTATAATCGTCACCTGAAAGCTTCAAGTCTGATTGTTTGACACTTATTTTCCTGGAGTTTCCTCATTTTATATGAGAAATTATTTTCAGAAGTTTAGTGATAGAAATCAGCTTGTATATAGTTTACTTTCATATCTTATACCTTGCGAATTATTTAGCGCTAAAAAAGATGACAATGCATTTTTTAGGAACAGAGGTAGGTTCCAAAGTAGTACTTAGAACTGACTTATAAATAAATTATGAATATATGTGTATATATATATATATATATATATATATATATATACACATATATCCCAGTAGGTGGCGGAAAGAATACTGAACTAGGATTCAGCAGATATAAGTTTTAGTTCTGTCACTGACACTTAGCTGCAGTGTAGTAAAATTGTCAAGAGAATGAGCTCTAGAGTCATACCCTTTAGTTTAAATCCTGGATCTGCTGTTTGCTGTGTGACCTTAGGCAGATCCTTTGACTGCTCAGAGTTTCCTCATCTGTAAAATAGAGGCAATAGTGGTACTCCACAGAGCTGGTCTAAGGTTTAGAAGAAAAGATATGTAAATATAGAACATAGTGTCTGGCACACAGCATCCAATACATATTAGTATAGACCTTGAACAACTTACGACCTCCCTGAATCTTACCGGTTCTGCTGAATCCTTTAGGATATTGTGAATCAAGGAATAGAGTGTGTGTGAAACTGCTTTGCCAACAGTACAGCACTATCAAAATGTAAGATGATAATGGAATTGCAAGTATATATGTCCTATGGACTCTAGAGCACAGACTTAATCTATGACTGCTGCGTGTAAAGTGATTCCATGACTATTATGCCAGTGGGGAAGCCAGCTGATCTGGGAAGAATCTACCAGCGAAGTTTATCCTATAATCTACTGTCTTCTATACATGAAAGTAATGCACCAGCCTTCTGAGTCTGACCTTTTTCTCCGGGGTATGCAGGAATTTGCAAATCCCATCCCTATATCCTGCTCTATCCTCTCTTTGGCTAAGAGTAATAGCAGGACATCTGTCTAGGCTTTGGGAAGCAATGTGCAGCCATGACACAAGGGATGAACCTCATGTAACCATGAACCTCATGTAATCACAGCGTGACCTTGGTCTCACAGCTCACAGATCTCATAAACTGATCCAACCATCTACCACTTCCTTTGCCAGGAGCCAGGGCTCCAGGGAGTATCTGCCACATGGAATTCATTTACAACTTCAAACAGGCTTGATCTTAAACCCAAGCAGAGAATATTGGGGATTGGAATAGGGTAAATATTTACTCTTCTCTGAATAAGAGAACATTTTACTCTCAACTCATGAGCCAAATGAAAGGAACCAAGCCTATTACTTTTATGAGCAGTATTCTAAAATTTTGTGAAAAGTATTATTGAAGAAATAATAATTTTAATTTTCATGTGTAGGATTTACGAAGAAATCAAAAGAGAATAGCTGAGTTGAACGCCACTATAAGAAAATTAGAAGACAGGAATACCTTGCTTGGAGATGAACGAAATGAATTGGTGAGTTCTAAGCAAATTTTTTTTATTTTATTATTTTTTACACATTTTGTTATAGTAGTATATACGATGTTATAGAAGTATAGCACAGTAAAGAAAAGTGCACAAATAATAAAGGTATGGCTCAGTAAATATGCCCCAGTGAAGCATATTATGGGCGAAGCACCCATATAACCACTACCCAGATGAATAAGTGGAAGATTACCAGCATCTCAGGACTTCCCCTTTGTGTGACCTCTTTCAATCACCATCCTTCTAAAGTTAACCACTATACTGAATTCTCTCACTATAGATGTCTATTGCCATTTTTAAAACGTGTTGTAGGGAATTCCCTGGCTGTCCAGTGGTTAGGGCTCGGCACTTTGATTACTGGGGCCTGGGTTCAGTCTCTGGTTGGGGAACTAAGATTCCCGCAAGCCGTGCGGCCCAACCAACAACAACAACAAAATGTGTTGTAAATGGAATCATATGATAATTACTCCTTTGTGTCGGGCTTTTTTTGCTCAGCATTCCATTGGTGAGAGTCATCCACTGTGTTGCATGTAGAATTCATTCATTTTCACTTTCTATCATATTCAATTATATATGATATATATTTATTGTAAAAGTATAAACAATATATGATATGTATATACAATTATATGGTAAATATATATAGATTCATCTATTGTTAATGGACATTAATGTTGTTTCATAACAATTTATAGCTGTTAATGGTGCTGCTACATGTCCTGGTGAGAAAATGTGCTCGTGTCTGGGGGGAATATACTAAGGAACAGAATTACTGGATCATAGAGTATGCATGCAGTCAGCTTCAGCAGTTGCTACCAGTTTTCCACAGTTGTCTTAATAGCCACATTTCCCCCAACAATGTATGAGAGTTGTAGTTTCTCCATGTCTTTGTCAACATGCAAAGTTAATTGGTCATTTTAGTCATTTTGGTGGGTGTGAGGTATATTCTTATTGTAGGATTTTCATTTTTATTTTCCTTCTCACTAATGAGGTGGAGTAACTTTTCAAATATCTATTGGCCTTTTGGGTATCCTGTGTGATTTGCCCTTTGTCTTTTGCCCATTTCCTCTTGTGCGTTCATTTTCTTATTAGTATTAGGGATTTTTTACATCATTTTTGGATGCTTGTGTTTAAAATATCATGCTCTGTGCCTTACATTTTACATTCTTTTTGGTGGCTCTTGGTATAATGAAGTCATTTTCAGCCTCTAAACACGAGGGACACATTGTCTTATGTCTTCCCAGTTAAAACGCGTGCGGGAAACCGAAAAACAATGTAAACCTCTTCTGGAAAGGAACAAGTGCCTCGCCAAGAGAAACGATGAACTGGTGGTGTCTTTGCAACGCATGGAAGAGAAACTAAAAGCCGTTACCAAGGAAAATTCAGAAATGGTGTGTACCACAGACTCTGCAAACTGCAGCTTCTTTGCTTCTTTCTTTTTATTACTCTGTTAACCTGACTTCCTGGTCTTTCCCAGTTTATTTTTAAAATACAATGCTATTTGTGAAAGCTTAGATTTTTCCCTTATGTAAGCAAGGAACACATAAGGAAGAAATCAAGAGAAGGTTGCTGGCTTTGAATTTTGTGGGGTTTCTAAATTTTGCAGAATGATGAGAGCACTTCCAGGAATCTGTACACTCTCCAAAAGCTCCAAAATAGAGAAGCAGAGTTTCAACCTAGCTCCTCAGCCACAGAAACCTCCTTCCAAGATAAACAAGGTCCTACTGTATAGCACAGGGAACTATATTCAATATCCTGTGATATTCCAGAATGGAAAAGAATATGAAAAAGAATATATATATATATATATATGTATAACTGAGTCACTTTGCTATACAGCAGAAATTAACACAACATTGTAAATCAACTAAACGTCAATAAAACTTTTTTTAAAATTAATAAAATTAAAATAATAGAAACCTCCTTCCAAGAATTTCACTAACGTGCACTTTGTGGAACCGTACAGTGGGTACCCCACATCTCCTGAGATCTTGCATAGTAACTGAGAACAGATGCCATCATTTTCATTATATATAGAGGTGACGTGCTAACGTACTCCTTCACAGACTTCCCGTCCTGCTGTAGAGATCTTCAGACATTCCCAGTGATTTCCACCTATTACGGAAGACAAAATGTACTTGAGGGTGTTAGTTGGTGTGTGTGTGTGTGTATTGAAGCTGGGCCATTTTCACGTTTAGCTGTAGCCTCATAAACTTTCTACAGATATTTTATGTTAACCACTAAAGTTTGGGATTTTCAAAGTCTCCACCTGCACTTTCTTTTTTTTTTCAACCCAGAGAGAAAAAATTACATCTCATCCACCCTTGAAGAAATTAAAATCTCTGAATGACCTCGATCAAGCTAATGAAGAACAAGAGACAGAGTTTCTAAAACTTCAGGTCATTGAACAGCAGAACATTATTGATGAGCTCACAAGGGTAGGTCTTGATTAATCTATAAACTCTAAGCTGTTTCCAAGGACAAGTAGCCAAGAAATCAACATACACTAGAAGCAGTTAATAATTTTGGTAACACAAATAATAGCTGCAAAGCACATTAAAATAATTCCCAAATGCATTATAATGTGAGTAGGTGGATCGTGTGATGTATCTTATAATTGCTTTCCAGTATCAAGATTCTGAGGCTCAGAGATTAAATACTTTGCCTACAATAACAGGACCATAGGTCTCTTGTTTCCCAACACCTGATTCAGTGTCTGGCGCATAGTGGTAGTTTAATAAATATTTGTCGAATGAACACCAATATCATAAAGACATAACAGCTGAAATTCCAGTCCAGATCTTCTGACTGTGACTTCAGTACCTGCTGAAGTAGGTAAAGCAGTTGTTACTCCCATCTGCATCTGGCTGAGGCCTGTGTTACCTACAACTTTGGGCTGAGACCTGTATACGCGTTTGGGTTTTCCTGTTTGCCTCTGTCTTTATTATGTGAATGACATCTGTGATCACTCTTGAGGACCAAGCCAAGGCTTACAGAGGTGAACTAGTGATGGGGGAGTTTCAAGCAGTAGTCTCCAGAGTAGGGTGAGCGAGATGATTTACTGCCATTGAGGGAAGAAAAGGTGATAAATTCTGCTTTATAATTATTTATGGTTCACCTTTTTAAAAGTTTCCATGTTGAGTGTATGTTATAATGCATATGCTACATTTGGAGGGTCATCTAAGTATAAATTTTAAAAGTTTTGGATATACTAAGGTTGCATGATCAAATTACTTTTACTTATAAAGGTGAAAGATCAAAAAAGTTAACACCACTGGCTTAACCAGATTATTTCTTAAACATGTGCTTAAAAGCTCTATGCCCCTCACTTCACTTCCACATCCTCAGTAACTCATAAATCTCACAGATTCACTAGTCCAGGAATTTGCTTGGCTTTGAGTATCCTGAGTTTAAGCTAAAAGTTTCTTACAGAATTTTGAGGCATGTCCACCAGACTTTCAAGAAGACATAAGTGTCACTTATTCCATCCACTTTTTTAAAAAATATTTATTTATTTGTTTATTTGGCTGTGTCGGATCTTAGTTGCGGCACACGGGATTGTCGTTGCAGCATGTGGACTTCTCTCTAGTTGTGGTGCACGGGCTCCAGAGCACGCAGGCTCAGTAGTTGTGGCTCGTGGGCTCTGTAGTTGTGGCACATGGGATTGCCTTGCAGCATGTGGGATCTTAGCTCCCAGACCAGGGATCGAATCCGTGTCCCCTGCATTGGAAGGCGGATTCTTAACCATTGGACCACCAGGGAAGTCCCTCCATCCACTTTTGAATTTGTACAGTAAGTATATGGAGTATTTAGCAGGTGGACACCAAAGTCCCAGGATATCTCCTTTCACAAAAAGAATGAATTAAGAAATTGATTGTTATTTCTAGATATTCTTTGAATTTCCCAGAACATTCTAACGAGGACCACCCCCCATCCAAAAAAAGAAAACACTAGATGATTCCAACCAAGCAGATACCCTGTCCCATTTTCAGAGGCTACAGGTGAGAACAAGGATCCAAGCATAGTCAAAAGATAGCTTTCTATGCTTTTCAAGGGATTAAGTGAAAAGAATGTTTTATTCTTTAAAATAAAATAATATTTTTTTCCACACCTAAATTTAAAATAATTTGGGATCTGAGAAAATTGAAGAATTGTGCTTTGGGAGAACATGAATGACTATTTTGTTCTTGATTTCAAGTATAACACACTTGAAATCCAATTAGCAACACAGTGTACACAGTGTACTTCCTGACTGTGAGGCTCTCAGATCCACATAATCAGGAAAGGTTGTAGAATATCCTTCCTTTGAAAATACTTAAGTATCAAACCCAAAGTTGCCAAAATTTACAAAACATAATCTTATTTTAAATAGAAATATGTAATGCCTCAGGGGAAAAACAACTCTGTCTTTGGGGGGAAAAAAAAACCCAAAACCCTACGGGGAGATATGTACCAACTCAAGATCTGAAAAGTCGTTAATCTATTTTCCAGGACCGGGAAAAGCTCATTCGTAGGAGAAAGCATAGAAGAAGTTCCAAGCCAATTAAGGTAATGAGAAAACTAGGTTATCAGGCTTTTGCCACACACAGAGCCAGAGAAGTGAGGCTTGCCAAGGAATCTTCCTGCAAAGATGTGATAAATCACATGTTCCTGAATTGCAGCAAACCCTGGGGTTTATCTGCCGGAAGAAAACCTCTTCTCTTGACAGTTCTCAGAAGTCCAAAAATGATTGCGTTGTGGATCTTAACCTGAAAGGGTTTGCTTTAATATGAGTTCCTCTTAGTGAAGAAGCCACTAGGTTTGACATAGAAAGGGTTATCTGACAAGCTGGAGAGTCACACTCCAAGAACATGAAAGAGATACTTATTATTTGATGTCTCCCCTGAATAATATTAGCATCTGGTACCCATCCTATAATTGATTAATATACTTTCATTATTCACTTGGGCAATATTATTGATAATGATACTCTCAATCCATGAATATCTGTATAGCCTCTTATAATCCACAAAGTTTTGTTATTTAATTTGTCAATGTGTTTGATTTTTGCTTTTAACAATTGCATCATTTGATTTGGATGTGGAATTAGATGATATGAGTTGATAATCCCTTCCCATAGATGCCTGGACTTTCAGAATTCCTTAATTATATTTTAAATACTGGACAGAGTAAATGACATAAAATCATCATGGTATAAAATGTAACATAAAAGAGGATACAGTGTTTTTATGAAGAGCCCAAATATTAATGAATCTTCCTCTGAAATATCAGAAGTGAAATAACGTAGGACAAACATTTATTGGAATTATTGTATTCATGCCTAATATGTTTATTTCTTCAAAGAAGCATTAAAGGATCTATGTCTTCTCTGTTCATTTGCATGTTTGCCAGTTGACAGTGCTTTAATAATATGTTGACTTTCCCCACTGTTAGTTTTATTGGTAAATATGTACTGTCCCTCCATTAGAGGCCTGTTTTGGACCCATTTATTGGCTACGATGAGGACTCCATGGATTCAGAAACATCATCCATGGCCTCATTTAGAACAGACCGAACGCCAGCTACTCCTGATGATGACTTGGATGAAGTAAGCTTTTTCAGTTCTCTCTCCTTTTGTGATATTGTCACCACATCTTTCCTTGAAGGGGGAGAAAAACCATTTCACTTTTTATCTGCTTTATGAACAGCACATAATCTCATAATAGTGACCAATTTTGAGACTGTGCTTGACTTTGTTACCTCTTAGAAATAGCTTCACCTATGTTATGTAGCCCTTGTAGAAACTTCTCTGAAGTTCAGCTCTGTAACTTGAAGACTTCTTTCAAAATAAAATTCTTCCAGATTCTTCATCCAGAGGAGGTGTGAACCAAAGAAGAAGCTTAGAGGAACAGCTTTTAAATAAGTCTAAGACAGTGTTTAGCCAAGTTTCTTTGTTGGCCGCGTTCATCTGAACTATCTAGGGGGTTCAATTACCATGAAAGTTCCTGGACCACGCAACTCCTGACTCAGGATCTTGAGGGTGGAACCCCCAAATCTGCATTTTTCACAGAACACCTTGATGATTGTATTATGCTCTGAAGTTTGGGACCTAACGCTGTAAAACTATGTTTTTATCATTTATCTGGGGAAGAAGTTGTTAGATATGAATGTATTGAAAGGAACTGAAACTAAAACTCTGATTACCATCTCCTCAAATTTGGATCCAAAATCTGGGTGTACATTTTTCTCATTTGGATCCAAAATTGTCTGTAATCCAAGCCCAAATGGGTAATAATCAGAAAAGTATAAATAAGCAAATGCTTCTCTTATTAATGAATACTTAAATATTTCTGAAATGCGCATCTGGAAAGTGTCATAGTATTTGTGCCCATACACATACTTTAAAATTAAGAATAAAATCACATAGAATCCAATAGCATACAAACCTTTATTTCTCTTTAAAAAATGGACAAATGCTAATATTTCACATTGAACACAGGACCTGAACATAATTATTTTTTGACTTTTTTTTTAACCTCAAGAGTCTAGCAGCTGAAGAATCTGAGCTACGATTCCGACAATTAACAAAAGAGTACCAGGCTCTCCAAAGAGCTTATGCCCTCTTGCAGGAGCAGACTGGAGGCATCATTGATGCTGAAAGAGAAGCCAAGGTTAGTGTACATCTGGGAGAGTGCCCTGAATAGGCTTGCGACAGTCATAGCATAAAAGTATTGCAGACATAAAAGTACCAATAGGGTAGCTTTCTCTGTACCCTTCTCTCCACTGCAGTTTTGAACTGCTTTATCTTTTATGTCAACAAACCTTGGATCTAGAGACATTAGAACCAGCTTAGAGCGATGCTTTTGTTCCTTTAAAGATAGTTGAGTACATAGTTCTTATTTTTGCTATTTGAAAACTTATATTTTCAAAGCTAAACAATGTTGAATTTTGGTAATCCATATTTTTTAGTTTCTTGCTTAATAAAAAAGAAAACTTTTCTCTTTCAAAAGCAATGGGTAGCCAGTTCTTTTTCTTAGTTAATAAGTGCACAGCATTACATTGACAGCTTACTGAGAATTGTCACTAACAATATCTCACTTAACCCTTGTGCCAGCCCCCTAAGGTGGGTATTTTATAAAAGAGGAATTTGAGGCTCAGAGAGGTTAATTGAATTGCCCCAGATCACACAGCTAATAAGTGCAAAACTGGGATTCCAAGTCATATCATACTGGGTCAGTTGTTTTTTCCATTATGTTGCAACTGCCTCTCATAAGTCTGTTTTTTTAAAAAGCCACATACAGTACTAATACTTGACATTTATTGAGTCGTTGCTGTGTTTTAGGCATTGTACTGAGTACTTTATATGCATTATCTCATGTAATCCTAAAACAACTCTATGAGTTAGATGCTATTATTAACTCCTTTTTACAGGAGAGGAAATAGTAGCCTAGTAGAAGTTAAATGTAGCTTAGTTAGGTTAAAACCAGGATATGTAGCTTAGATGAAAGCTAGGATATGAACCTCGTCCTTCTGAGTTCAGTCATAACCTCTATGCCATAACTTCCTTATAGGTTAGTTTACTTGGGGCAAGAAAGAGTGTGACCATCCAGTGATTTTATCCTACTTCCTAATTAGAAGGTCTACAATGTACTGAGGAGTGTTGTAGGAACTACTGTTAGTTGGTTAGTGGGAAAGGATAGATATTATAGCTATATTTTTAAATGGTAGCATACATACATACATGCACATACACATACACAGAGAGCAAACATTAAAGAAAACCCACTGTGATTTGGAACAGACACGTAAGCAATCATTAGGAAGGGATGTGTGTGTGTGTGCTTTCATGTCTGTGCCCTAATACTGTAAGAGTTGTGGATTCCTTTATCAGTATTTACTACCCATTCTTAGCAGCGTAGGATTGGTCAATTGAAATAATAGCATATGCCTTGTGTTTTGGAGAGGTGACGACATAGAACCCAGTTCTCTTTCTCTAGTCTCACTCTCCCATCAAAATACAGGTTTAGCATTGTTTATGGCCATTAAAGTAAGACAACTTAACTATTCTGAGCAAAATAGTCTAAAACAAATCAAGATGTTGGGAAAAGAGTAGTAGAGTAAATTCAAAGAAAGTAGAAATGCAAAAATAGTTAGTATAGATGAAAAAGTATCAGTGAAAACAGAAGACCTAATCACTTCAAGACAAGGAAAAAAAATAGGTTATACTCAACACCCATTCAAAGTTAAAATAATTCTTTTTTTTTTTTTTTCCGGCTGCGTTGGGTCTTCGTTGTGGTTCACGGGCTTCTCATTGTGGTGGCTTCTAGTTGCAGAGCACGGGCTCTAGGCACACGGGCTTCAGTAGTTGTGACACACAGGCTTAGTTGCTCCGAGGCATGTGGGATCTTCCCGGACCAGGGATCGAACTCGTGTCACCTGCATTGGCAGGTGGATTCTTAACCACTGCACCAACAAAGTTAAATTAATTCTTAGCAAACGAAGCTTGGAATTTTTTAACCTGATAAAGAAGCTAACACTAAATATAACACTTAACAGTCCAAAGAAATATTCTCCTCACAGCAAATAATAAGAAAAGAATACTTATCATCACTGATTTTGTTCAACTTTGTTGAACCTATCCAGATCATAAGACAAGGAAAAAAAATATGTGTATGACCAGAAAACAAAAAAAGCTATTTTTCACAAAAAGTAGGATCATATTAAGAGAGAATACAAGTGAATCTAAAAAATTACTGGACTAAATGAAGTAAGGTTGTTCCGTACAAATCAGTGTCCCAAACTGCTGATGTGCGCACATGTGCGTGCACACACACACAAAACACATGATAGATACATAGATACATACCTACATACATAGATTTGGATTTAGATTTAAATATAGGGCACAAAGTTGGCTTCAAAAGAACAGAAGGATTTTGGGGAGGCAAAAATGGGAGAAGGCTTTCCAGAAGGGGAAGTCGTTCAAATAAAGAGAGAAGCGGAGAGGTACAAGGCATATTTAGGAAACAAGGAGATCACCAGCAGGTAAGGGATGGACCCTGCATTGATAGTGGTGGGAAAAGATTGGAAATATAAGAGAAGTTCTTGAATCCTAAGCTAAACAGTTTGAATTTTAACCTGATGGTAAAGGGAGCCATTGAAAATTGTACACAGAGAATTTAGGTTGTAAAAATAGATAGAAAATATTCTTTGGTGATAGAAAATTCTTTTGTTTTTTTTCTCAATTGTTGAGTTCTAATCAAGGAACACGAGGGGAAGAAAAATGTTGAGTTGCCATTTTACGTACTGAGTTCTGGAATTTTGATTTCACTAGGCTCAAGAGCAACTCCAGGCAGAGGTGCTAAGGTATAAAGCCAAAATTGAAGATCTGGAAGCGACTCTGGCTCAGAAAGGGCAGGTAGGCATTTGGTTGCTCCCACTTCTGCAGATGCAGACAATTCAAACTGACCTTCCTCTAGATCACCCTGTGCATGGGCCCATCCAGGACACGGCTTGGCTCTCCACAGTGACCTTTCTCAAACTGTGTCAGAATGTTCAACTCTCTGTTTCTGTCCCTGGTGTTTGGTTGGCCAGAGTGTGAACCCAGCTACAACAGTGAGTGAGGCTGGGCAAGAGAGAGAATGCCAGAGGAAGAGGAGCCCTGTACACATAGCCTAGAGTGGTCATGAGCTGCTAAGACCAAGACCCACCCCTCAAGCTGCATTCTTTGCCTCTATGCTACATTTATGGTTCTGCATTTTAATGTTTTCCATCCATATGTATCTAGCCTGTGTGCATTCTGACCCTTTTCACTTTTTGCCTGTGTGGTCACTTCTGAGTCCCCAGAAGGCTGGTCCTGGATTATTCAGACTTAAAAAGATAGGGATAGTGAGTGACAATAAAAAGGGGGTTAAATTTTCCCGGCAACTTTGGCCCCAGTGTCTTGGAATAAGGAGCACGCCGGGGTGGATGTCATTTACCAGTCGTTGGCAGGCAAACAATCCGGGTGGAGAGAAGACGGCTCTGGCAAAGTGGTTTGACGACACATGCTCTTTCATGCCACTCTGAAATGCTGACTGCGCGATATTCTTTGTCAAACAGGATTCACACTGGGTAGAAGATAAACAACTTTTCATTAAGAGAAACCAGGAGCTTTTAGAAAAGGTATGTGGGGCGCAACACCCTAGTGGGGCAGAGGAGAGAATGATGAGAGATCCAGGAGCAGCAGGGGGTCCTCTCAGGAGTGGCACAGGGGCTAGGGGACGGGGAGGCTTTTCTGGCGCTGTGCTCCCCTCTGCTGAGTGCCCAACTGCATCTCTGTCACTGCCATCACCATCAGTTGAGTGGCACGTGGTGTGCATGGCTCTGCGCTGGGCGTTGTGCCGACTTGAAAGGATGTGATCCCTGAAACCTATTGATTTGTTACCCGTATATATATACTGTATATGTACTGTATGTATATATATATATACACACCCACATATGCACACATCCTATGTGGTTGTCCATCTACAAGAGCACCCTGTGAATAGGACCTGTTATTTTGTGCAAGGACATGCTGCAACCTAGCATAGAGTGTGTTCTTACTGTTAATTTTTTGCTAATGTTCGCTGCTTGTTTGTTTATTTTTTATGAAAGAACATTTCAAAAGATGCATCCAGAGCACAAAAGAGCATTTCCAGGAGGTTGGAACAAATCAAGATGCAAAGGCTTGGTTTCCGCCCAAGAGATAAAATAAATTTGGGTTAGCTGAACATAGACTTTTGATTAGGGGCAGTGAAATACAACAGAGATCACTTTAAGTTCAAACGTGGCTTTTCCTTTGGTATTTCCCTTTGATGATGTGAAACGATTACAAAATAATCTCATATTATTCTTGACAGAAAGAGAATTTGAAAGCCCATTTGAAAAGGGAAATAATTCTGTAGGGTGATGTAGAGTTATATAGAAATTATTTTAGGATTGTTTCTGCCAATATTCACTAGCCTTGACAAGTAATAAAAGTTAACTGCAACACTCTGGTAAGCATGAAAAGGTAAAGAAGACGCTTGTCCTCCCCTCCCTCTGGTCCTGTCTCACTTTCTACATGATGAGAGACAGAGCTGATGTATAGAAGGGGGGTGGGTGTTCCAGGATTGAGGACTGGTACTCTCAGAAAGGTTGCGGGTTTCTATAAAGAAACTTTATGGACATTAGCCCTGGTCTATGAATTGTAGCCACCTGTGAACCACTAATATTATGGCTAGTGCTAACCACCAGAGCCAGGCATCTCCCCAAATATCCCATCTCTGATGTCAATCCAAGATTCTAGGAAATAGTCAACTTCTAAAAACTTTCAAAAGTTTACTAGACCACAAAAATCTAGTGGAAAAAACTTGAGTTGGCTACATAAATTAATGTTACATAGTATCTCACTTTCCCCCATCTTTATTTTCTATAATTTTTCTATATCAGGAGACTATGAGAAAAAGAAGATTTTAGTAGTCTCCGAGATACCCAGTAATAAGTGTTATTATACTTATTTATCATCTAAAAAATAACTCCCATTATGTCTTCTTTCTGATTTTCTTTGGTCTTGATTTCTTTGGGCTAAAAGGGGAATTTTTTGAGCTCAGGCTTCTAAGAGTAAAAGGAAACCAAAGTGACAATAAAGCTAAACATTCTACTTCAAGTGTTTATCCTTGAGAAAGTAAGATTCACCCTACATTAAAAAGCCCCTGATTTTTTATTTCTAAATTCAAGATTTTAAACAGTTACTGTACAGAAGGCCCACCCACACAGCTAATATCGAAGGCAGCCCCAAACCTATTGCAAATCATGAAAATGTTCTGATCCCTTGTGGACATGGGCACTGTGTACAGGGCAAGGCAGGTTTGTACACAACTAACTTAATTCCATGCTTCATCAGGTTACACTAGATGTCCTACAGGAAAGCCCTATGGGAAAACAGAAGGGAGAGTTGTCACTTTGGATTAAGGAGCCAGGGGGAAGACTCTTATGGTAGGAGACATCAAGGAAGTATAGGATTTCCTCATGTAGAAAAGGGAGTTGGGGAGCCCTTTTCAGGCAGAGGTGAGCACAGACAGAGCTCCTGGAGTGACCAGAACATAGGGTAGATCTGGGTTTCTAGATTCAAGTGTATGTGATCACATGTGAGTGTGTGTGTGTGTGTGTGTGTGTGTGTGTGTAGACATGACAGTGATAACACCTAAATCTGGTGAGCAGATTATTAAGGTTTTTGAATTCCATTGAGGACTTCAGCTTTATTTTGCATGTAACTGGAATTCAACAAATTTTTGTGTAGGATCAGAGCTGTTTTAAAAAAATATTTCTTCAACAACTTGTAACTCCAGAAATAAGAGGTGTCAGTCTCCATTATTTGCACCATTAAATCTAGTTCTTGGACACTGTCCCAGACAGCAAGGGACAGATTCACTATTCATAGGGTCCCTAGACTTTATCTCAATGAATGGAGGCATCCTCCAGTACTTTGTTCTATGACCCGAAAAACTCAACCAAAGGATAACTAGAGGGAAAACCAAAGATTTAGTTTATTCACATCTACTTGGGACTTTTTTTCATGGTCTAGACAATTTATTCACCCTGTAAATGAATGCTGTCCATGCTTGCTTTGCTAAGTTGTAGATGCTTTTTGCAATGTCCACCTAACTTGAGGATTTATTTTATCAGATAGAAAAACAAGAGGCAGAAAATCACCGGCTCCAACAGGAACTGCAGGATGCCAGAGACCAGAATGAGCTGCTGGAGTTTCGAAATCTAGAGCTAGAAGTAAGGAAATGATGATAATGATAATAAAAATATTAACATGCACTGAACCCATTCGTTGTGTGAGGTACTAGCTTAAGCATTTCAGATACATACTCTCATTGGACCTCACAACCACAACCAAGATTTGATAGATGAGGCAACTGAGGTTAAATAACTTGCCCAAGTCCTGTGACTAGTACGTGGTGAAGCACTGATGCAACTCAGAATTGTCTGTTCAGATACTGTACTTTACAACACTGTTGCCTTTATGAACAAGGCTAATGAATGATTTTAAAATAATTTGAATAATATATTTCAAAGTTTATCAATATTTCATTGCTTTTAAATAATCATTTCCATCCTTCATTGAATTCTGACTCGGGAAAATATTACTTCAAGAATTATATTTTAAAATGTACTATATACACAAATATTTTATTGGTAGACCCTTGAATCTGTAAGTAAACTTTTTATTCTGTAATGCATTATGCAAAAGGCTAAGAAGCAAGGTAATTTGTTTTAGGAAATACTTTGTTTAACTTGACCAAGTTTCAGAGTCTTTGTTTTTAAGTAAAACATATCAATCAAATCAGATTTAGATTGTATCATGCAGAATCCGGCATAGGGTCTGGTTGAATGTGCATGATATGTAAAGGATAAGAAAATTTCCCATTTGATTTCTTTGTTATTTCGCCAACAATTTCTTCTTGAGGTTATTTTACATTAGGTTTGGATAAAGTTAGTAGTTGGTATGCTTCAGTGAAGAAGAGTTAAGTCATCTTTGGTAGCCCACAAATCTTACTAATAAAGCTTGAGTGGATTGAATATGCAGAAGACCATGAGCTGCCATAAAACTTCATGGTCAGAAGAACATTCTTTGTGATACCTGAAAGCTCTAAATATTCATGTAGTTTAAAATGGAACTCCACTTCCCACATTTCCTTGATCCAAAAATTTGCAAAACTGGCCGCGGAGTGGCTGGGCCCGTGAGCCATGGCCGCTGGGCCTGCGCGTCCGGAGCCTGTGCTCCACGGTGGGAGAGGACACAGCAGTGAGAGGCCCGCATATCGCAAAAAAAAAAAAAAAAATTTGCAAAACTGGATGACACCATGTTAAATTCTTCTCCCACATCTCTTAGTTGACTTATCAGTTCTTTTCCATTAAATTCAAGCATGAAGATCTTGAGTTCGATTTTTTTTTTTTTTTTTTTTGCCAAATGGCATATTGATAAGCTGCTGAAATAGCGTAGAGGCCACAGACAACTGGTTTAGTGATTAATCAGTTGTTGCTTTTTTTTTTTAATTCCCACATATTCTTCACTGTATTTCAAGGAAAGAGAGAGACGATCCCCTCCATTTAATCTGCAAATTCACCCATTCTCAGATGGTGTGAGTGCTCTACAGATCTACTGTATGAAAGAAGGTGTCAAGGTAGGCAGATGTTTCCCTGTGTATGTTGTAGACAGTAGAAAAACTGGGAATTGGAAAAGGGGAGGTTGTTTGTGACTGTTTTGTCTTTCGGTCACTGGTTGTCATTTTGATACGAACTATGTAGGAACTGAAAATAGTCACATCTATGGGAAAATCGACAGAACATACACAAAATAAATGTGTGACAGATGTATGAATGGTAACAGCAAAAAAAAACAAAAAACTAGGAAGCCATGATTATTTAGAACAGTAACATAAAGAGTGATACAGAATCAAAATATTAAGATAATTACCCTTGATTATCTGGAAGAAATATTAAATAAATTCAATATTTTAAGAAACATATCTCAAGGATGCCAGATAAAAAGGTATTTGTTGAGTCCCTTTGTTGTGCTGTTCTAATTGCTATGGAATTCATCATCTTGGAATTTCAGTATTAGAAGAAACCTTGAAATCATCTTGCCCACCATCTCTTTTGATATGGGTGTTTTAGGGAGGATTTCACTTTTGGAAGGCCTTGGGGATTATAACATGTTGCTCACTTAGACAAAATATAATTTCATCTTTAGTGATATTGGAATACATTTTAAATATTAAGGTCGAGTGGAGGTGGCTCCATCTCCTGGAAAATATATTGTCCCTCAATGTAACAGAATCACATAGTGACTGACTATTCCAGAGGTAAGGCTAGGAAGCCTCCCGCTCTTTCTGGTCTCTCCTTACCTTCTGCATGGCCCTTCCTGTTCCCACTCTGAGCTGCCAAATATACCTGCTTTAGTTGCCTTCTCTCTACCTCTGAGATTGAGCTAGACTTCTGTATTTCTGGCAGTAGGGATCTGCTAAACTGTTATCTGAACCTGAGTAAAAGGATAACGTGGTACTAATGGGGGGGAAATTAGGTCGAAAATTGTGCTTCTTTGACTTCTGTCTTAAAACACTCTCATGTTGTTTAAACTTCTGGCCTTCCTGGGCTGCGTGAAAATTTGTAAACCAAAGCAATTTTTTGATTCAACTCTAATTCAATGAGAAGCACTTTACTTTGTCTTTTCCTTAGATGTTTTGTTTTTAGATAAATCACAAACAACCTAATCAGTGCATGTAGTTTATATACAAAGGAACTCTTTTAAATGGAGTTCAGCTGCTTCAAATTGCCTCAGGGACTATAATAAAAATCAGCTGTTTTCCACAGGATGGAATTAATGCTAAACACCTAAAAAATAGAACTGCTCTGCAGTTTTCTATGTGGCAGTCGAAATCTCAACCAGGTCAGAATTCCATTAATTAGAATGAAATTGGTTGGTTATTTAAATTTCTTTCTTGTTACTTTTCTTAATACTTGAAATCTACCACAGTTGAAACAATTTTCAACAATTATAAGAAAAAGAGCTACTGAGCAAATCCTGAGTCCTTAGTACATCCTAGATGCTTTCATGTACAATCTCTTTATCCTCAAATCAGCCTATGAAGAAAGTATTTATTTTGCAGTTGGCGAAATTGAAAATGCACTGTTAAGTAGTTTTCCCAGGTTCACACAGCTTCTATGAAGCAAAGTGGAACTGTAAAACCAGCTGTGCCTGATTGAAAACGAACCAAGGAAGAGCAGGTCTCAGAATGTCCTCTCTAACTCAAGGTTCAGGCAGGCACTGATAGAATGGTAAGCCACGACTTGAATGAATCTCCTTGATTTTGCAGGATGTGAACATCCCTGATCTCATAAAGCAGCTTGATATCTTGGGTGATAACGGGGTAAGTCATGAATTGTTTAAGTACAGTAAAGATATGCATTTGCCTAAAGAGAAGCAAGAAATACTTGCCAATGCATTACGTGTAAAACAGTAGCAAGTGAAGGGAACTGTACTCAGTATTTTGTAATAACCTATAAGGGAAAAGAATCTGAAAATGTAGCTATACACATATATATGCATGTATATATGTAGTTATACATATATATGTGTATAACTAAAGCACTGTGCTGTACACCTGAAACTAACACAACATTGTAAATCAACTATACTTCAATTAAATAAATAAATAGAAAAAAACAAAAAAATAATAGCAAGTGAGACAGCAGGTTCACTTAAGCATGCGGCTTCTGGAAAAGAATCAGCAATCTATCAAACCACTCAGCTAAGGGATTGTAAGGATCTCTGGAAGGTAGTGGCAGAAGTGGGAACTGGTAAGGTGCTTTTCATGCGCAGGTTTCAGGTTTGAATGCCAATGGAGTGTGCGCTGATTAAAGCTAATTACCTTCTGACTGTTGCTGGGAGGCATGGGGGTGAAATTAATCAGTCATGCAGTTGCAGATGCTGCTAAACAGTAGGGTTGGTGGCAGCCCCATAAAAATGCGCTAGGAAACTATAATCCCTTTTCTTTCTAAAAACACCTTCCAGACAGGGTCAAGCCATATTAATTCAGTGGGAGGACCATTCATTGAGATACTAGATGAATGATGTATGTAGGTTGAAATAGTCACACTATTTTTTTTCCCTTGAAAAATTACCAAAGGAGAGAACAAAATCGATTAAATCACATCAAACTGCTGTGAAGAGATTACTCTTTATTTCATTTCTTTAATATCTTTATCGGAGTACAATTGCTTTACAATGGTGTGTTAGTTTCTGCTGTATAACAAAGTGAATCAGCTATACATATACATATGTCCCCATATCTCCTCCTCCCGCTTGCGTCTCCCTCCCACCCTCCCTATCCCACCCCTCTAGGTGGTCACAAAGCACTGAGCTGATCTCCCTGTGCTGTGTGGCTGCTTCCCACTATCTTTATTTCATTTTGGTTTCTGCTTTTCTTATGACTATTCATGCAGTATGCTTACAGTGAAACAAAATCAAGTCAGCACTAGAGATATAAAACCATCACATTTAATGTACTTTTTACAGCTTTTGAATGAACTCTTTGTTAGGAATTATTACTAAATAGAATAGGCCGTTTGTGAATGTTCTATGCATGCGTATGTGGCAGGCAAGTTAGGCAGTATCTTCTGATAGTATAAATGTCAAAAAGTGTTTTCAGCTTATTTTCTTTCTCCCCACCCCTTCAACCCCCGCCACAGAATTTAAGAAATGAAGAGCAAGTGGCTATAATTCAGGCCAGCACTGTGCTGTCCCTGGCAGAAAAGGTAATAAATCATACTAACATTCAAATCATCTCAGTGTCTGGCTTAACACTTGGGGTTGAAGGACAATCTCTTTGCACATGATTTTGCATTATTGAATACCTAATAAATATTTTATTCTTCAGGGTGATATAACCCAGATAGAATGAGAACACACAAAAGAAGAGTCTACACACTGATTTAGGGTGGGTGGATAATTCTTGCTTTGAAGTCTCTTAAAAATATAATTCTGTAAAAATGCAAAACCTGGATTACATTACTTAAGCCATCCTTACCAAGCTGGGAAACCAATAAAGAAGGGTTTTGTTAAGTGGTAAATTGGAGCATGGCTCTGTCTGTGGGCTTTTCCTTGGGTGTATACCTACCAGTTATTCCAACTGACTCTGTAACTTGTGGTGGCTCCCTGCACCTTCGTTTAGAAAGCCCAACCTGGGGACTGTCAGAAGAGCAACACTGCGCGTTCTCTCACCCCCTTGTGTCTAAACCTGGTAAATGCAAGAGAGAGAAAAAAGGAAAGAGCCAAGTGAAGAAACCTGGTAACTGGCTGTATTCAGGGCACCTTGAGAATCAGCACATAGTTGACAGTCACGTGTACATGGCTGGGTAAAGTAAGAACTTATGTACTATAAGTTCCTTGAGATGCTTTCTTAATTTCTAAATGCATGAAAAAGCATGTTGTAAATTAAATGAAACCATGAGCAAGCATTCACCTTGCTCCAGTCTGAAATGAGGGAATTCTACTGGTCAAATGACCCAGTTAAGTTACTCAAACAAAACAATGACATTTAAAAAATGGCAGAGGGAGAGGGAAGAATTGCTATGAAATAAAAAGTTACTTAAGAAATATTGAAATGGTCCTTTTTTGCATCCTGCTTCAAGCAAACCAAGTGTGAAACCAAGGACATTTTGCTGACAACTGGGGAAATTTTAATATGGACCAGGTATCAGATGACAAAAGGAATTAATATTAATTTTGCAAAGTGTGGAAATGGCCTTTTGGTTATGTTATTTCTTAAAAGACCTTAAGTGTTAGGGACACATACTGAAGTATTTCATGTGAAATATCTGGGATTTGCTCTTTTAAAAACTTCCACCCTTCACAATTTAATAACAGACCTTATCACTTTCCCTTTCCTCTTGTGATCAAATTAATAGCACCACATTGTCCCTAACATAGGTCTAGAATCCAGAATTTGGCAAGAGGGCCCCCTTGGAACTGGCCCTTACCTATTTCTCCAGCACCCCACTTCCTTCCTTGGTCACCAACCAAGGTCCAGCCATGCACAGATCCTTTTGGGGCTCCAGTCTCCTCTCTCCTCTCTTCTCTCTCCTCTCGCTCTCTGTCTCTCTATCACTCTATCTCTGTCTCTGTCTCTGTCTACCTCTACATATTTTCATCCCTTGGTCCTTTACACTGTTCCTTTTGTCTAGATTTTCTCTTCTTCCCTTTCTACCTTTGTCTGGCTAAATCTTAATCATTAGACCCTCCCATACATGGGGAAGCCTTCCTATTCACCCAAGCCCAGTTAGGTCTTCTCACTCTGTGTTCCCACAGTGACCTGTGCTTCTGCTACTATGGCTTTTAGCAACTGTAATACAACCACACTTTTTTTTTTTTTTTCTGTAGTTCACTAGACTCTACGCTCCACGAGGGCAACTCTGGAATCTGTTTTTCACTCTTTGTTTTCCTAGTTTTTCACACCAGAGCATCTCATCCAGTTGGAGTCATGAAGGACTATGATTCTTTATTGCAAGCGTTCCCTCAAGCTTCCTACTAAAAGCAGAAAGTACCCTATAGCACGTAGGAACTGTTCTAGTAAAGCTTTGACGTATTAGTTCGTGCCTCCACTTACCTCCTTTGCAAAACAGGTGTGAGGGGTTCGGATTAAACAATCAAGGGGTGATGCCTATGCGCTTAGCACTGTGATTGAAAGTGAGGAATCAGCTGAATAAGACACAAGCTTGTCCTTAAAATGCTCATGGTCTGTGCAATTGCCTTTTGTGCAAATCTTTGCAATTCATAAGCTAAAGTCACCTCCTCCCCCCATGTTTGGGATTCACAGATAAACATTTCTACCTCCAAGTAATTGTAAATATCATCTTGAACTTCCTGAGACCACACATTTGAATTATCTCTCTACCATCTGAGAGTGTGACCTTTAGCCAGAGGTTGAGCCTAGACAAATTTCCAACAAGGAAATCCTATTGTGACTTCGTATTAAAAATAATAAGAGCAGTGACCTTATGTGAGGACATGTTATGGGCCAGGGACTATGCTAAATAGTGTCTGTGCATTATCTCATTGCTCCCCACAACCACCCTATATTCATCCACTATTTTCATTTTATCTGTGAGAAAACTGTGGCCTGGGCTATTCATTCCTCATCCTGCATCATCCACGTAGTCAGAGTCGGGAGCCAACATACAAATCTATAGCTAAAGCCCATGACCGGACTACTTCACTTCACGGTTCTCTTAAAAACATAGTGTGGAATTTCCCTGGTAGCACGGTGGTTAAGACTCCGCATTCCCAATGCAGGGGGCCAGGGTTCGATCCCTGGTCAGGGAACTAGATCCCACATGCATGCCGCAACTAAGGAGCCCACGAGCCACAAGTAAGAAGCCCGCCTGCTGCAACTAAGACCCAGCGCAACCAAATAAGTAAATATTAAAAAAAAAAAAAACATGGTACACAAGAGAATTTGTTTCTCAATGGTAAATGGGCAGCCAGCAAGAGGAAGCATTTTAATAAAGCTTGATGGTACACAATTGCAATATGAGGGTGTTTACAAGAAACCCATGACTTTGGACTGAAATTTGTTTCATGAGGGAAGCCATGTGTATGCACAAGAGCTGAGAGATTAACACCTCTCCAGTCTCCACGGCCTTTTTTCTTTCCCCGTGTTCCTTACAGCCAAGGGGCTGTTGGATATGGTGGCCCCTTGTGAATACCAAGGCTTTAGTATATAGAAAAATGCTCAGTACACCACATAATTTATCACAAACAAAGAAGAAATAGTTGGTAGTGAGGCAAATTTCTAACAGTGTGGAAGTACAAAAATGAATGTTAACCAAAAACAAGAATGTATTGGTTACCTAGTACATGCAGTACACTGTCAGTAGGACCTTAGGTTTATTACATCCTTTAATCTTCACATTATTATTAATCCCATTTCACAGATAAGAAAGTTGAGGCTTAGAGAAACCAGGTAACAGTTCAAGGCCACATAGCCATGAAAAGCTAGGATTGGGATTAGACCCAAGGTAGTTGGCCTCTAGGACCCACACACTTAATTATTTGCCTAATTGCCTCCCTGAGGGATAAGCTTATGGTTAACTTGATGGAGACCCATTATAACAATTTATTCTCTGAAACCATATATGTGGTAGGCTCACACTATATTATTCAAAGTCTAAATTCATTCAGGGTATTGATCTGTGCTAATATCAACACCATCTAACAGAATGATATATTCTAAGTGTTAGGAAAGATAAGTTCTTTCTGTGTGATTTAAAATTTGTCTCCACTCAACAAAAATGATTCCTCAACATTTAGCTGTAATCAGTGTCATATACTGAAAAAAATGCCATTTCTCCAGTCTCACCTGGCCTTCTTTCTTTCATCATGCTCCCTCCAATCATGGAGAATTAGACATACCTTCTGCTTGGAACTTGCCCCTCATCTTTGCTTAGTCATCTCTGACTCATTCCTTACACCCAGTGCAATTGTCATTTCCAAGAAAGCCTCCCATGGTGTCCTCCAATGAGGGCAAAACATGTGTTGGTCTTATGCACCATCACAGCCCTAGTACCTAGCACATTGTCTCACACATGGTAGATATCAATGAAGGCTTTCGTTGAATGTAGAATGAATGAATGAGTGGAAATTTATAAACTTGTTTCTGAGCTAAGAGTTAAAATGTACCAAGTTTTCACTCCAATTCTTAGTCTGCTTCCTGAGATATAAGGGGAAGAGACACTAAGCAGCTCAGGAGGCAGCACCATTTACACCATGTCAAGCAATCATGTCAAACACTTGTGTCTGGTTTACCCCTTAGTGGATCCAGCAAATTGAAGGAGCAGAGGCTGCCCTGCACCAGAAAATGATGGAATTGGAAAGTGACATGGTGAGTAAAAATGAGATGTCAGAAAACAAAAGAAAAATTGACAAGACAAATGGAAAACAACTGTTTTCTAGCAGTTTTATCTGGCACGGATGGAAGTTTGTAGGCTTGCCATTATTTTGTGTATAGACTGTGAAACAGAATGCCCAGAAGTACCCCACAATTTCAAGTTATAGCCTCCAGAAATATCATGTTGTAATTTTGTAGTATTTCCAGAACTAATGCTGAAGAAAATCCAGTTAGGTGTTTTCTTTCTTAGGCTAAATAATTTTTCCACCAAATTGACAGAAATGATGGGTGTAACTTTGGTATTAAAAATCCCCAAGCCACCTCACTCCCATTAAGATGGCTACTATCAAAAAAAACCAACAAAAATCAGAAAATAACAAGTGATGATGAAGATGTGGAGAAACTGGAACCCTGTGCAGTGTTGGTGGGAATGTAAAATGGTGCAGCTGCTTTGGAAAACCGTATGGTTAGTGGTTGCTCAAAAAATTCAAAATAGAATTTCCATATGATACAGCAACACCACTTCTGGGAGTACACCCAAAATAACTGAAAGCGGGCTCTTGAAGAGAGATTTGTACACCTGTGTTCAAAGAGATTTGTACACCTGTGTTCAAATTTTAAAATAAAATTTATTTTAAATTGTGGTAAAAAAAACATGCAGCATGCAATTTGCCATCCTAAATTATTTATTTATTTATTTAGGACACACCAGGGTCCAAGTTCCCTGACCAGGGATCAAACCCATGCCCCCTGCAGTGAGAGCACAGAGTCCTAACCACTGGACCACCAGGGAAGTCCCCCATGACTCTTCTTAAAGCAGATGCCCACCCCCAACCCCCTGCCTCCACCACCCCTTCATAAGTCTTAGCGAGACAGGCAGATGGATAAATTGGTCTGTTAGTTGGTATGTGGATGGAGCAATATGTGTGGTTAACTTTGTGCCCACTCTCTAAATTATCTTTGTGTTTGCTAATGATACACCGATGAGTTTGAATAAATTGTTTTTTATTATACAACTTTGCTCTATTACATTTCATGACATTCTTACAAAAATATACTATCCCAGTATATTTACACAGATATATTTATTAGCATCTATAGCATTTATCTTGTCAGAAGTCTACCCTTAGGGACTTACCTGGCGGTCCAGTGGTTAAGACTCCGTGCTTCCACAGCAGGGGGCATGTGTTCGATCCCTGGTCGGGGAACTAAGATCCCACATGTCGTGCAGTGAGGCCAAAAAACAAACCAACAAACAAACAAACAAAAATCTATCCTTAATGACATACTCTTAAATTGGTATAGAAATCCTTTAAGACATTCCATGTGGATTGTTTGTTATATATTTTTTCTTCTTTCCATTGATTTGTACATTCCCTGTGTGAAACTATAAAAGTTGAACTATTTCCCTAAAAGACAAAATCTGTGACCCTACAAATACTAGTGATTTGTCTTACAGTGGAATTAGAGAAAACGCTAATCAATACAATTTATATATCACTTTCTCATTAACTAAGCTGACTCTATCTATTAATGTCGCCCTTTTTTCTAGGAACAATTCTGCAAAATCAAAGGCTATCTGGAAGAAGAACTAGACTACAGGAAACAAGCTCTCGACCAAGCATATATGGTAGGTACAACAAGCATTGGAGACACTCCGAGTGTTTACGATTACATGCTCTGGAGTAAAGCATCCTGTGTAATTTGTCATGTCATGTATTTGAATAGACCACAACGTGCAGCTCATTTATTCAGAGGTTTCCAGTTCTCATTCTAGAACAAATATATCTCTAGTTCTTTGCTGTTACAATACTCTTATAATAGTTAATAAATATTTCATTATACTTGATTATTTTTAAAAAATTGAATTGTGTTGTTAAATAATATTTAAATGAACAACAGATTGGATGGCAATGTAGATTAAAGAGAAATTTTATTAAATCAAATCTGATTGTTGGGGAGCCTAGTCTAGGGATACAATAATGATGTATTTAATGTGATACATATTTTTAATTCATTTATTTCTGACAACAACCCTAAGAGGTATAGGGAATATTATTATTTATATATTACATATGAGAAAATGAAGGCTTAGAGAGAGAAAGAACTTGGCCCAGCTTGGTACACAAGTAGGTAGTGTTTAGATCTGACTCCAGACATTGTGGCCTTAACTACCATCATCCAGCCACAGTAAGAATATATGGGTATGTATAAAATGGATAACTAATAAGAACCTGCTGTATAAAAAAATAAATAAAATTTAAAAATTAAAAAAAAAAAAGAATATATAGGGAAATGGGCTGTGCCTTTTTCTCTCCTCCAGAAGATTGTGCTGAAGGAGGAGCACATTTGATCCACCCCCCGAACCAAATTCATAAAGCATCATTCCTAATATTGGCCTACAGCTTGCACTTCTTCTCTCTGTGTGGACACCACCCTGCCCCCCACCGTAATACACTGTAATGACTCAAGAGAAAAAGAGGAACATTTTGAGGAGTTGCTAGTAGAGGTTTTTATAATGCTTTCCTGGAAGCAGCCTGAGTCACTTTTGGGAAAAGAGTGAAGCACTTAGCCCCTGCTTATAACAAAGATGAATTAGTACTCCCCACCCAAGATGAATAAGAGATTCTGAGCACTGACTGATGGGGAAAGGAGAGGATGAGTATTGGCCGCTGATTAGAGAATAAAGAAGGAGGTAATTTTTCCCTCCCTTCCTATCCTTTTAGCCTTGCCTTCTCTACCTACACACGGTAAGATTAAACTGCATGTGTGTGTGTTCCAGGACTGAAGACTCATTCAGATAATTATTAATATATTTAACTTTTAAGAGGTGAGACCTGCTTAGTCCAGGACAGGAGCTTGGAGAACATCCCTCACCAGGGCGTGTCCTTTCACCTATGTCAGAGTCACAGGGGATAAGATGATAGATTTTGGTAACTGTATCTGAAGCATGTGAAAGAAAAGAAAACTGGGATATAAGAAGCAGTAGACTCTTCATCTAAAAAAGAAAAGCCTCAAGGAAGCATTTTATAGCTAGAGCAACTATAAATCTCAGAGTATTAAAAAACAGACCAACTCCAAAGACTCTAGGCTATATTTCTCAATTTTTATTTTTATTTTTTTTTATTTTTTTTTTCAATTTTTATTTTTATAAGAAAAAAATGGAGACTATAAAGCCATCTTCAGAGGTGTGTCATGTGGAAGAGAGGTGGCATTGTGTGTGTGAAATATCTCCAATTTCAAGTATTTTATTCCAACTTGGACCACTTTTCAATGCTTATTTCTAAAAATATGGCCACCACGATAGATGTCTTTAAATATCTGTCAAATGAAAGAGAGAACAAACTTATTTTCAGCTACATTTGAGAATAGAAGGATATACAGTTATTATAACAAAGTAAGGACTTGCTAAAAATGAAAAGTATGTGACATGGACAGGATCCCAAGAAAAAGAACAAACTCTCCATCATTGGAGTAGTTCACGTATTGGCTAGATGATCCTTATGGCATCTTATAAAGGGGATCATCAAAAGGATATTTAAGCTGGAGAAGCTTTTTTTTTTTTTTTTAATTATTTATTTTTGGCTGAGTTGGGTCTTCATTGCTGCACGCGGGCTTTCTCTAGTTGTGGCGAGTGGGGGGCTACTCTTCGTTGCGGTGCGCAGGCTTCTTTTTTTATATATAAATTTATTTTATTTACTTATTTTTGGCTGTGTTGGGTCTACATTGCTGCGTGCAGGCTTTCTCTAGTTGTGGCGAGCGAGGGCTATTCTTCGTTGCGGTGCGCAGGCTTCCCTTGTTGTGGAGCACAGGCTCTAGGCAAGCAGGCTTCAGTAGTTGTGGCACACGGGCTCAGTAGTTGTGGCTCATGGGCTCTAGAGCACAGGCTCAGTAGATGTGGCGCATGGGCTTAATTGCTCTGTGGCATGTGGGACCTTCCCGGACCAGGGCTCGAACCCGTGTCCCCTGCACTGGCAGGCAGATTCTTAACCACTGCGTCACCAGGGAAGTCCCAGTGTGTGGGCTTCTCATGGCAGTGGCTTCTCTTGTTGTGGAGCACAGGCTCTGGGAGTGCGGGCTTCAGTAGTTGTGGTGCACAGGGTCAGTAGTTGTGGTGCGCAGGCTCAGTAGCTGTGGCGCACGGGCTTAGTTGCTCTTCGGCATGTGGGATCTTCCCAGACCAGGGATCAAACCCTTGTCCCCTGCACTGACAGACAGATTCTTAACCACTGCACCATCGGGATAGTCCCTAAGCTGGATAAGCTTTGAAATTTATTCTGTTGCTAGGATCCTGTGAGACTAAAATAATACATCCCTCCACATGTACACACATGTGTACATTCACACACCACACGTAAGATGCTAAATTCCAAGGTTTTCTAATTCTATTTGCCAGAGAATCCAGGAACTAGAAGCGACTTTGTACAATGCTCTGCAGCAAGAAACTGTTATCAAGTTTGGTGAATTATTAACTGAAAAACAGCAAGAGGAGCTGAGGACAGCAGTGGAAAAGTTACGGCGGCAGATGCTGAGGAAGAGCAGAGAGTACGACTGTCAGATTCTACAGGAGAGAATGGAGCTCTTACAGCAAGCCCATCAGGTGAGGATGTAGTCACTACATCTGTGTTGGGTGGTACTAAGAAAATGGGACCAAGTGCTCAGTACATAGTGTTGAGTATGAGTATGGAGAAGCCTGGGAGCTAGAAGCTATTTTCAAAGAGTAAAATAAGTAACTGTTGTTTTCCACCTACACTCAGAAACAGGACCCTGGTTTTATAATGAATTAATCTGAAGAGAATTGGCACTTCAGAAGCACTGTGTCATGCTACTGTTTTTGCGACTACTTTGTCATGAAACACCCCTTGAATCTCATGGAGCCTGATTATGTCCCTTATGCTGGGAAGGGACTCTCTGGGACTCAGTCCAGGACACATATAATGCTTCCCCGCTGTTACTCATCCCAGTCCATAACCTAGCCTGATCAAATAATCCGAAGAGGGTAAAAGGGAACAAGGACCTTTCTCTTTATTCCCAGAATAAACAGCAACAGCAACAAAGCATGGAAGCTGCCTCTTACTTACTGGCATGTGCTATAGGTCAGGAGCTAAACTAAGGGCTCTACTTCCATTGTTTCATTTAATCTTGGCAATAGCCCACTACTGTAAGTATTCTCACTATCCCAGCTTAAGAGATCATGATACTGAAGAAAAGAGTGCTTAGGTGATTGGCCCAAGATGACAGATAGTAAGCAACAGAGCCAGAATTACACCCCAGATTGGCCTGACTCCAAGGCCAGTGCACAGAAACATTGCACTGTGCTGTCTTCTACAGCTTGAATCATCTATAATTTATATGATTTATCTAGACCGGCAAGGCTCAAAATAAACACCCAATATTAACTTATAGCCAAAATTCTTAATTCCAACTATTTGTTCATGTCACAGATTGACAGGCAAAGACTAGGGTCCTGGTCAAAAAGCAGATTCTGAAATAATTCCAGAATTGAAAGTTCCAGACTAGGGTATTCGGTACTCATAAGCTGAAATAAGCAACTGGTACGAAATCCAGATGGGCTCTACGGGAGGTAAGAATCACGTGGTCATTAGAGATCAAGGTGAGTAGAAAAGGAACAGGGGTTCTTTGTTGTGGATCTTTACAGGCTAACAAATTACCCAAGTTAACAGGGAACTCTGAAGCCATTTTGTCCCAGAGATGATAAACACATGCATGTTTGTTTCACTGGTTCTTGAGATTCCATCATAAAGGTTTGGATTTTGACTCTGAAGAGAGTTTTAAAGCTTTCAATAATAGACTGTACGGTATCATTGCATTAATGCAAGCATTCTTTCCTTCTATAAGGGAATGAACATGTCCTCTGCATAAATTTCTCAGGCTGCAATAGCATTTAATTAATTTCAGCAAAGAAGGAGGTGTGTCATAGAACCGCAGAAGTGTTTATTTTTAAGATGGACAAATAGTTATCTAAATTTTTTTATGATTAAAGCCTTGTCAATGCTTTTGTGTCTCTTCAGTCAGCTAAGGTACTTCACTCCCAAAAGAGATGGTCCTGTTTGTTTTGTTTTAAGTTACCCAGTCTGAACTGTTAAGTACATTATATTTCTAAGCCTCAGAGAGTTTCATTGACATTTTCTGTCTCCCAACCAGATATTCATTAGAATATGCCTTTCCAGTTATTTCTTACTTTCCTTTCAATCAGTAGCTTTGATTTGAGAGAATTATTCCAGAAAGCATTGGCCAGGATTTGTCATATATAAGTTTATAATGCAGTCTAAATTCTAGAGCATATCACTAACCACTCATTAGACATTTCTGTTTGAATGTTTTAGAGTGAACTCAAATGAAACATACCTAAACACACATTCTTATCCTTATTTCTCCCTTCTCTCCCCATCTGCCTGTCTTGGTTAGTAGAGCTACCATATGTCAAAGCACTCAAGCTGAAAACCCTGGGGTCTCCCCTGTCCTTCTCCCCTTTTCTGATGTCATATTCTTCCTCAAAAGCCTCCATGACCCCAATTTCCAGTTGAGTCTAGTCGTGCTATCTCCAGGTCCTTCAGTAGCTGGCTACTCCTCCCCTAAAACCCAGATTTGAGACAATCGTCATAGCTTACCTTCCTCTCTGTTCATGCAGAACTCTTCCCGTACCCCTTAGGCCATGATTTCCCACCTCCAAGCCTTTGTTTTCCTGATTGCTCACCCCAAAATGTCTTTCAGAGTCTGCTGCACTTATCCAAATCTTCTCATTTTTCAGTTTAGATCCAGCTCTTCAGAATGCTCTCCCTGATGAACACAATGAACTACATACTACTGAAAAAATCGACATTCCATACCCTTTTCGTACACTCATTCAGAACCATTTATTGAGGGCCTGCTTGTGCTGGGTGCTGGGAATGTGATGGTGGAGAAAGACATAAAGGTCATTGTTCTCATGTATCCTACCGATGAAGAGGGAAAAAGCGACAGTGCAAATGAGCAATAGCCAGGGCAATTTCAGAGAGTGGCAACAAGTGCTCTGAAGATGTGTGCATGTGTGAGAGAGAGAGAGAGAGAGAGAGAGGGAGAGGGAGGGAGGGAGAGGGAGAGAATGAGAGTGAGTTTGGGAGTAGGATTAGCCACTCTAGACTGGCTGATCAGAGCAGGCCTCTCTGAAAATGTCGAAATCCCAAGAAATCAGCCACGCAAGGATTTTGGCGAGGTGTCCCAGAAGTTAGGGTCAGCAGGGGCTAAGTCTCTATCATGGGAATGTTTGGAATATTTAAGGAGCAGAGAGAAGGCCAGTATGGCAGGGGCACATGGAGCCAAGGGAAGGTGGTTATGAGATGAATCTGGAGAGGTGAGACAGGCCAAGGTCATGCTGGGCCTTGAAGGAGTTTGCATTTTATTCTGAGAGCAACTTGGCTAACTGTCCCTCTCCCTCTTCCTCGCCCCCTTAAAACTCAAGGACTGCCGTGATCATTTCACATTCTAAGAGTTCACACTGGCTGCTATAGGTGGATGTAGGATGCACAAGATTAGAAGCAGGAAGAGCCGGCAGTAACCTCTCACACAGTCATGATGGGGGACTTGGTGTACTTAGTAGCAGTAGAGACCAAAAGTCGTAGAAAAGGGATCTATTTTGGACTCCATAGAGTTTACTGTGAGACTGGATGGCAGGCTGGCAAGCAGATGGGACGGAAAAAGACATAAAGCCCTCAGCACACAGTGTAGCTTACCTAACTCATTGAATAAATATGTATACGCAGCTTCTTTGTGCTAAACACTGTACCGGGTGTTAGAGGTTGGCGATGAAGTTGTGCATAGTTTCGCCATTGTTTACTTTTTCTGCTTAATCTGTTTGTCCCTGTGTTTTACATTTTTTCTCCCCATCTGGATGTGATAGTTCTTTGAGATCAGGAACTAATTGATGCCTTGCCTGTATTCTCCGTCACATCCAGCACAGTCCTGAACATGTGAGAAGGTGCCCAACAAGCACAGGCTTGGTGGCTGCATAGATGCCATAGTAAGCTCATGATTTTATTGGTGTAGTGCTTGCCTCTACATCCAGCAGACATAAGAAGGAAGTTCTTGCACACTCAAGGTAGAAATAGCTAGCAAATTTATCCTTTCACTGTGTAGCTTTGGAGCATAAGCCGCACTATGGAAATACAAGCACACACATCACACACATTTATCATTCACTGTCACACACATCATGGTCACATAATTTCATGGTCCTTCTGACAAAACACACCCTCCTCTCCTGCACAAACCTCACCCTCTTTCCTTTAAAGCAGGATTTCCCAGTCTCTGCACTACTGACATTTGGGGCCTGATGATTCTTTATGGGGGTGGGGGGGTGGAGACTGATCTGTGTACTGCAGGATGTTTAGCAGCATCTTTGGCCTCTACCCCTTAGGTGCTAGTTGCACCCCTTCCCCCAGCTGTGACCAGTGATCACATGTGATTCAAAACTGTCCAGAAATTAGATAGTGGTGATGGTTGCACAACTTTGTGAATATACTAAAACCACTGAATATTACACTTTAAAATAAATTAACTAACTTTTTTAAATGTCCAGACATTGCCAGATGTCATCTGGGGTGCAAACTCACCCCCAGTTGAGAACCACTTTAGAGAGAGGAAGATATGATTTCCAAGTTCAACTGTTCTTTGTTCTAGCTTCCCTTTTGTCTCCCCACATTGCATTGTAAAACCTCTCCTTCTATATTATCACGTTGTTTAGCTTCCACTGTTTTCTTCTTAAACTCCAGTTCTCCATTTTCTAATTATTCCCAAAAGAGGCATTAAATTACAAGCTTGCCCTGTGTAACCCTGGACCATGAACATACAAGGCCTTTAGATTGCCAGAAGGAAATTTGAAGACTCTTTTCACTTATAAATTAGTCTATGTAATGTCAATTTCAAATCTGTGCTATTTAAATTACTGGAATTTTGTTATAGTTTACAGGTAATTTCAAAGACAGTTCTGGAACTTTTTTGTCTTCAGGATTACTTGTGTTATTCTTGTTATGTTTGGGGTTTTTTTTCCCCTCGTTTATCAGTTCCTTCTTTTGAATTTTTTTGAAGTGGATTTGCTACCTTGTTTTGTGAAAATTGGTCAGTCCTGTTTCGTGAGGAAATTCCACCCTGAAACAGATTTGAAATAAGGTTGGAAAAAAAAAAAAGGTAGAACAGAAACCGATGGGATAGTTGCATTTGTGTGAGCCAGTTTTAGCCATTTTTTAATGAGGTAATGAACAACCAAAAACCTTAATCAAATGGTTTACAACAAAATTTGTTTCTTGCTCTCTAGTTCTGGGACATACAGCTGTCTCTACAAGGATGTGGCTTTCCCACATCTCACTCCCACTCACGTTCCACTGGCCAAAACAGGTCTCCTGACCAAGCCCAAGGACAGTGGGGTGAAAATCATGCCTCTCTCACAGGGAAGGGATCTTCAGGGATAGATTGACCCAGAAGAGAAAGGGATGGCAAATATTTTTAAAATATAATCAGTGAAAATGATTTTCACTGTGAGTACGGGTAATTTTTGAAAAATGCAATAACCCACTGGGTATAGAAAAACGTATATGTGACATTTCCAGATGTTATGTTTTTATAGAAAGTTCTGTGTTTTAGTTTGGTGAATGATCTTCTTGTTTAACTTAACAGACTGAAAAGCTTCTTTTTCCCATCCCTTTCTTTTTCAGAGAATTCGTGACTTAGAAGATAAAACAGACATCCAGAAAAGACAGATAAAGGACTTAGAAGAAAAGGTACATGTGAAGTTCAATATGTATTTCAATCTTTATTTTTTAGATCAGACAATAATATTGTTTTCACTCACCGTGTTTTCTTTCTTCTCAGCTATTGTGTATCTTGTGTAGGCAGGTATAGTTACAGCAAACGTGAACTCTGCCTGTAGTCAGGCACCAGGATTCTAGCAAAGCTTCTGCCTTCAGTTACATTTTTGCCTTTTGTGTTGATTCCTGTCCTTTTCTATCAGTGTTTTCTTTCCTCAGTTTTCCCTTTCCCATCTTCACTTCTTTGCCAAAAGTTTCTTCTGAGTTTTGTTACTCTACGTTCCTCTTCCTTTTTAAAATCTTTTTAGTCCCTTTTTAAAAAAGTCTTTCCCATTATTCATAAAAAGCCCTTCCTCCTTGTGCTGCAATTTCACCTCAATAATACATTCAGAAATTTAGATTGACACATGAAAACTATGCCCTCATGTCACTTCCCCAGTGGTCTGAGAGAGGAACTGCTTCTTCCAAGTCAGCCAACACTTTTGGCAGGGGTGGGGGTGAGGTAAAGAGGGCATTTGGAATTGTGTGTGTTCTGGGAGAAGGGAGAGGGCTAGCGCAGGGATGCTCCTTAGCTGCAGTGAGTTCAACAGTCTTGCATAACAAAGAATTATCCTGCCTGCGATGCCAGGGGCACCCTGCCAAGGAACACAGCAGGGATGGCAAGAGGTGTTCTATGGAGTTCCAGTCTCATTGACTGGAAGTAGCAGCCTGAATCCCTGTGTTGCGAAAAAGCATGGTTGTTTTGCAGTATCTCATGGGCACCCAAGAAGCAAATAGCAAACCACCTGCCATTTCTGAGATAGTGATTAGAATTTGGTTCATTCCAAATGGCTTTTATCGTTGCCCTTATGTGAGCTCAAAGGCCACTGGTAGGGTCCAGTAGCCAAACAATCAGCCACCTAGATTCTTATGTAGTCTGGGTCTTCATGTACTTATTTGAGCTTGGGTAAGTGACTTTACCCACTGTGTCTAAGCCATATCTATTCAATAGGGATGGTAACACTCACCCTCACCTCCTCTCATGGGTTCCATGAGGAAAAAAATGAGGTCACTTACATGAAAATTAGGAAATACTAAAAAAGTATAAGTCAAATTAAAGTATATTTTTTAAAATTTCCAAATGTAAAGTTACATATCTTATACAAAATTTTAAATTTGAATTTTCCTCTTTTCCAAACTGTGCTATTTAGTTCTTCAGGGTAAGAGTGTAGTAAACGAAAAGCTGCATCTAATTTCCCAGTGTTTGGCAGAAAGACCCATAGAAAGCAGGGGTTGTCCACAGTTTCCCTGGCTGTCAAAGGACACACCTGCTATCTTCCATTTTCCACGTATTTAAATGGCTACCCTTGGTCCTAGTCAGTCTCTCTGCTAATTTGTAAACAGTCCTGGGGTGGCTCAAGGAGGAAGCTGCCAGCTCTTCCCCAGAAACTTCGTTCAGTTCAGTCCCCACTTAACTGAGGAAAAACAAACAAACAAAGGAATTTTCTAACATCTAGTCAGGTCACCACCCTCGCCAAATTAAATGTGAACTTTTCATTTTACAGGTCTGAACTTCCTGAATATTTATGATAATAGGTTAATGTACTTAACAGAAAATGACAATTATTTAACTATCAAAGCAGCACACTCCATATGTAGTACCAAACTAAGCCACTTCAAAAACAATCCAGTTGGTTTTTGATTAGCGGTTAGAATGACAGATAAGGTTTATAAAGTACCTTCTCTTCACTTGACCTCAATTCTACTCATCCACAAGCATAGTGAAAAGGCTAAAGATCACTTATGTCAGGGATAGTCTTCATTCTTTCCCCTGGAGTACTTGAACGCCTTCTCAGGGTACATACAATATTCCTTCTTTGTTCCTAATTCCCATGCACCTGAGTATAAATCAGGTGATAAAAACAAACATAGCAAAATTGCTTCCCACGTGCCGCTCTTCACCATCCAAGGCACTTCCACATTCATCATCTCATTTGATGATGAATTATCATCATTCATTAAAATTATTATTATAATAAATAATAATTATTATAATTAATTATAATTATCCTGAGGAACATACCACAGATATTATGTTCCCCTTTTATACAGATAATAAAACAAAGGCTCAGAGACATTAAACGACTTTCCCCAAATCATATAACCAGTCTATGGCAAATCAAGACCAGAGGTCAGGTATCCGACCCTAAGTGCCACAGCCTGCCTACCACATAGCATGGAATTTAGACTCTCATTGTAAATCAAGTGATGGGTGTCCCCTCATGCCCAGAGAGGTAGCTCTGACACCGGACCTTCTCATGGGAATAGTGGAAGCCTTCCATTCCTCTCCTCCATCCACTCCTGTTCCATGTGCCATCCTATTACTATCCATCTTCAAGGAATGGGAAAAAAAAAGACAGAGTTTCTGCTTTTCATAGTACTAGACCAGTCACTAATACATGGCTCTTCACACCATGTCTATAACTTGTTCATGCAATTTTGCCACAGGGAAGCAAGAGCCTTATATGTATGGCATTAAAGGAAATATGCAAATAATGTGCCCAACATGAGACTGCCATACAGGACCCTATTCAAAAATGTCATGACCAGCAGAAGGCTCCTGAAGTGTGATAACAAGGCAAAAGACTTCATGACTCTGTAAATCACCGAGGAAATCAGTATTCGAAAAAACTGATCTGACCTATGACATTTTATAATTAGTATACAGTTGGTTTTCTACCAGTGCTACACAAGCATGTTTTCCATCCAAGTATCTGCTTCTCTGGTGAAGGTTCTTGGTGAAGAGAGAAATATCGGACTCCATTTAACTTCTATGAGTCAAATAAGGAGAAATCTATCTCAGAAGCATGACAGCCTGGAGCGGCAGCATCCATTCACTGTGTGTAGTTACCTCTGATGAATAAGCATAGTTCATACCAGTAGGAGGACCACATATCCTCACTCAACCAGGACAGACCCAGGTTATACCTGTTGCCCTGACGTAATTACTAATACAATTCCATTTCCCTCTGAGGAGTGCCCCACTGTGGATAAGTGATCATATGTTTACCCTACAGATTAACACCTTAGTCCTAAAACCTAACACGTTAACCAAATAATGATAGCATTGAGTGATTGTGTACACTTTGATCATTTTTAATTTTTTAAGTTACCCTCTCAACACATTAAAAATAGAGACAATAACATGTAATAGAGTAGGACTTGGAAGGTCTAACCTCTAGGCTTCACTATACCATCAGATTATAGGCAATTAGACTATTGATTAACTGCTCTGTGCTTATTTTTCTTACTTATAAAATTAGGAGCTTAGGCCGATGGCCTGTTAAGACCCTCTCAGAGTTCTAAAATGTATCAGTCGATGTTAGTTGAACACCAGTTATTCATTGCATTGCTTTACCAGTGGATAAATAAAAGGTATGGTTTTTTGAAATAAAAGGTGTTTGGTGTATATATGAGAAATGGTCAGATTTGAGCAAAGTGGAAAAGCTGAGGTTTTGTACGACCTGAATGGCAGTACAGAAATTCAGATTTACATAATCTTCTTCTTTTTCTTCTGCAGTTTCTGTTTCTATTCTTGTTCTTCTCTCTTGCCTTTATTCTATGGCCTTGATGTCAAGGTGCCTCTTACAGGTAAGATTCCATTTAATTCTCAAAATGTGCTTCTAAGAGGTATTTGATAAGAAGGATGCTGCATATAGTTACTATGCCCATGTTTTTTTTAAAAAAATACACTGGGTATTTAAATGCCATAAAATGAGAAATAGATCCAATCCATTTGGGTGATTATTAAAGAAATGAAGCGACCATGAAGCATGATGGAAATCAAGAATTTTTTTCTAGCTAACTGTCTTGCTCTGGGAAGTCATCATGTCTGTGGATCTGTGAATTCTCATTGTAGCCCCTCATTACACTGAAAGAGTCGTTTCTGTATCTGCAAAGTAAAAAAATATGAGTACGTTTTTAGTCTCTCTTCCAGGTTGAAAATTCTGCTTCTGTAAATCTAACAAGTTAAAGATGACTGATTTTTTAACCCTTTTTCCCAGTCCCTCTTCATCAGGACTCAGGAAAAAAGACTGTTTAGGGAAATTGGATCTTGTTTTAAAATAAGATAGTTTTCAATGTCAATTTAGAAAAAAATGAAGACTCACTATTATTATATTATCAAGTCAATTTCTTATGAATACAAGTATAAATCATCTTAGACAGTGATTCCCAATGCTATTAAAAATACAGATTCCAGGGCTTCCCTGGTGGCGCAGTGGTTGAGAGTCCGCCTGCCGATGCAGGGGACGTGGGTTCGTGCCCCGGTCCGGGAAGATCCCATATGCCACGGAGTGGCTGGGCCCGTGAGCCATGGCCACTGAGCCTGCGCGTCCGGAGCCTGTGCTCCACAATGGGAGAGGCCACAACAGTGAGAGGCCTGCGTACCACAAAAAAAAAAAAAAAAAAAAAAAAATACAGATTCCAAAGCCTTACCTCCGATTTAATGAAGCAGATTACTAGACGTGGGGATGAGACAGAGGGTGAGAGAGGTGGAGAGTAAAGATTGATCTATATTTTTAACAAGCATACCAGGTGATTCTGATGTCTACCCAGGTACAGAAACCACAAACCTTAACACCATTATTTAAAAATAAACAAGGGCTAGCTGCTATTCTAAATCTGTTTACCATGGTGTGTGTCCACCTTGATTATCCTATTAAGTTATATCATGCAGGGATCTTTCGTGGACCTCACGTTACTTAACATTTTCTATAACAGGTTGAAAAATGGAAGAGAGACACTTTCTCTCTCTGTGGGTATCAACTCTGTTACCTGGATGTGAAACAGAAAAGCAAAAGTACTTTAACATGACCTTGATACAAGGAAGGAGTGAAGCAGATATCCCCAGAAAGTTGTATCCTCATATACCCAACTCCCTGGCTTTATTCCTTCCTCCAAAAGATTTTCTTTTCAGACTGAAAATTATCCTC